TTCCACCATTCCTCCTCACCTCACTCCAAGACCACTAAGCTACAGCCACACCTAACAGTTCATACTTTCATGCCTACATCCATGCTGTTTCTTCTGCCTTGGAGGGCATTTCCCCTATTTTCCTGATAAATTTCCAGTCATATTATACAGACACATCTCAAATGCCACACCATGAGAAGACTTCCTAGATAACATCACCTGTGCCGGTGACTTACATCTTTAGGCTTATTGAAAAACTATGAGATTGCTGACTCATGTACCCACCCCTGCCCCAGCAAACATGAAATCCCCAAAGGCATGGACCACAGTGGATTCACTTTTGTATGCCCAGTCCTAAGCCCAGCCCCCAGCTGGATGCCTACATGACCACATGGATTACTAATGGGACATGGGAGGTAACGGTGTGACAGACCCCAGAGAGCCTAGAAATGGCTGAAATTACCTGTGGTCAAAGATTCCTCCAGCCTTCCCAATATAAGTTAGTATAAATAGCACCTATGTCACATGACACATGGCAGCAGCAGCTCAGCAGAGCTCTGAGGACAGAAATGATAACAGTAGATTGCACAGCTCCTTCACATCAAAGTGAAAACAAGCCTCCCATTCTAAAAAGTGAATGGGTGAGTCCTTGTAAACAAGTCTAGCTCTATTGGGAAAATCAGAACATTGAGTACTAATAGCTTAAAAAGGATTTTATAATACCCACAACTATAGATGGCACTGCTGATGCAGGTTTCCAACACTGGTCATGATGCATAGTGTTGGTGGAAACCCCTTAGGTTCGCTTCCACAAGGGAACATTCTCTTCTCTCCCCAAAGATGGAACAGTATTGATATGAACACTCCCATTTCCTGCTTCTATACTCTCACTTATTCCACATATGGGAGGAGAAATCATTTAGCTGATCTACAAGATTTGAAAGAATATAACATCCATGAGTACATGTAAAAGAGGAAATGGGACCACAGCCTTGAAATGGAGTCAGTGCTGGTTTGACATGTGTCTCTGCTATGGTTTGAATGTCCCTCCCCACCCAGAACTCTTGTTGAAATTTAATTGCCATTGTGACAATATTAAGAGATGGGACCTTTAAGAGGTGATTGGGCTGTAAGGGCTCTGCCCTCATGAATGGATTAATGTTGTTAGCTCGGGACTAGGTTCCTGATAAAAGTCAGTTTGGTCCCCTCTTTCCCTCTCTCACTCCCGCATGCATGCTCTCTTGCCATTTTGCCCTCCATCGTGAGATGATGCAGCAGGAAAGCACACACCAGATGCCAAGCAGACACCAGCACCATGCCCTTGGACTTCCCAGTCTCCAGAACGATGAGCCAAATTAACTTGTGTTCATTATAAACTACACAGACTCAGGTATTCTATTATAGCAGCAGAAAATGGACTAAGACAGACTCTTTTCTGAACCACCTGTCCTCAAGGCAGTGAGATCTTTGAGTTCACATATCAAGCACATCAAGTGAAGCTTGCTTCAAGCACATACAGCTAGCTTTCCTTTCTCTTTGTCCCAGCTTCCTGGCCTGCCAATGACTGGGTAAATCAATTTCATGCAGGCCCCTAGCTCCAGCCAGATTCCAAAAAGAAATAGGACACTACCCTTCCCCCTGTGCTCTTTAATGCAGACTGACCAAAACCAATACTGCACTTTGCTTCAGGTGGCTCTGTGAATTGTCCTCAACTGGTTAGACCTCAGAGCAAAACAGTGGTGAGTACTAGCACATTTATGTCATTAGTCAAGATTCTTTATTTACAATTTTAAACCCACAGTACAAAAATAACTAAAATGCAGCTTCAGTTACTGTTGGGTTTATTTTACTGTATGGAAAAGTGCAATTCCCAACCTTTCCAAAATAAGTGGTTGTTGTTTTTCTCTAAAGGAGTCTGTAATATTTCCTAGCACGGAAAAGTCCCTGAGGGATTTGCTACAGGAGTGAAGTCTGACCACAGCTATCATTCAATTTGGGGTATATCTTCCATAGGGGTCCCTTCTTAAGTAGAAGGTATTGGTGAAAGATGACTGTGAACACAGAATTTATGAAATATATTAGCAGTCTCTCTGTCACCTAGTAGTACCATTTAATTCAGAGAATTTATGGAGAGTCTACTGAGTGTTGGAGACAAATGAAGCCAAAAAGAGACTTATTTATCAAATCCTTCACTCAAACATATATTTACTCATTCAACAAATATTTCATCAGTATCTACTATGTGCCAGATGCTTGTGCCCATGGTGTCTGACACCTAAAACACAGTCTCATAGGGGGAGAGAAAACCAGTTTTAAAAAGCAGCCTTATTGCCCTCAACAAACTGTCTTCTTCCAAATATGCTTTATCTTTATGCTTTATGTTCCTTTCTGCCTTCCACTTAACAGTCAGTAACTCTTTCTACTTGGGCTTTACATTTGCTCTTTGCCTGGCTTCCCTGATCCTAATAAGGAATGATTTACAAGCTAACACACTAAATTCTTTCATATTAATATAACAAAGCTCTCTCAGTAATGCAAATAATCATGCTATAATTCAGCCATGTTGCACACATGAATTTTCAGAAAGTGCCTACCCCAATAATACAACAAAGCACTTTTCCCAGGAAGTACAAAAGGCAACTGGGACATGCTGAAAGAGAGCCTGGATAATCGATTAGAACAGGTGGGATGTTGCTTATCTTCCTCAGGGTCCCCTTTCCCTGCTGATCTCTTCCTTCCTGTTTGCATTTCATAGATGTTTAGGATTAGATAGGTAACCTGGGAATGACTCACATGGAATTGAAGGTCAAAATTTATGGACACAGATCATTTTATTGGACACAGATCATTTTATTAGAGGGGTATATAATCCCCCTACCAAAAAACTACATTTTGGCTTTCTTCATCGTCTCTGAACATTAAATCAACTAGTGTAGTTTCAATGGTAAAAAAATGTTCATGATATTCCTTTGATTCACAAACTATTTTTTCCTTAGTTTGTATAAGGTTCCCAAACCAAACCATCCAAATAGTCTCTGAATGAAGGCATTAGGGAGTAACATTTTAGCTTTGGAAACTTGCATGTAGTTACTTACAACACTGTAAATGTTTCCCCCTGTCCTTGAAATGCACCATATAAATATTGCATTTGATCCTTAACTTACACTTTGTAAATAATTTATTTCAAAAATATTCCTCCATAAGATCGTCAGTTGCTGAGGTGTTCAGTTTTCGGGGAAAGCATTTATTTACTGCATGAGCCCAGGAAGGCTGGTAAAGACTTGGCTAAAAGCTCCACATGCAGCGAATTATGGTAATTGTATTAATGCTCAAATCCACGACGCTCAATGCTCAAATCTGCTAAAAGGTTTTGTACTACATTGCCCACATCTTGACGGGCAATGAGGCCACTGGAAATGTTTAACACTTCATAGGGAGGCTTCCGAGATTCATTTTTCACAGTTCCAAGAATTGCTAAAGAATGTCTGGAGGTACCTTCCAGAAGAATTTCTGAAAGTCATAACACAGAACAAACATCCTCTCAAATACCTTCTGCTTGGTGTTCAGACTGAAACTTCAAGCACAAGTCACCAGAAATGAAAATCAAAGGAAACATCACACAATTAATTTTGATGAATGGGTATGTTTTAATTCATGTACAGCAATATTCTGCTTAATGATATGTCTCCTTAGGACACCCATTAAAAATCCATTAACTTAAGAGGCGAAATCTAATAAAGTTACTCTGGAAATTTTCTGCTAGATTAACATTATGGACTTCTAATGAATATTTCTGATAGGCATTGCTCTATTAGGAGAGCTAATATACTAATTAAACCTGTGTATTGTGTGAGGTGGGAAAAAGAACAGAAAAATGTAAAAATAATCAGAAAATCAGAGTTGGACCCAAGCTGCCAAAGATAGTGCTAAAATCAGTAAATATCTTTACAGCTTTTGAAAGCAAAGAGTGCCGCCTTCCCAATACCAACCACCTCAATCATTAATTTAACTGCTTATTAATCAAGTAGTAATTTAGCTGTGAAAATATACTGTGCTAGTACCGGTAATACAAAAGTAAATAAGTGAAAATTCTTATGTCAAGGAGCTCACAGTCTAGTGTAGAATCAAGACACATAAACAGGTAATCAATGCGTACTATAATAAAGTTATTTTCAACATATCATGGGAATACTCACTAAAGAAAAACTACCTTATTGGGGGGGGTATATAAATTTTAAAAATCACTTAAACAATTAAGTAATTGAAGCTGAAATTTGTATTCCAGTAAAATATCAGTGCCTTGCAGGCCTTCCCATAGGGTTTCAATCTTGACTTATTTCCTGGTTCTGCACACAGTTAGACAAGTTACTAATCTGATTCTCACCTGTAAACAGGGTAACAGTGCTTTTGTCAGTAGTTGTGAGGACCCCATGAAACAAAGTATGTGAAAGCACATAGAGAAATGTGCCTGGAACACAGAAGGTGTGCTTTACTACCTAGTCGTTGCCACATAAAACTGGGAGTCCAGAGCCCTAAGGCCTGAGCAAGAACCACTGGCTCATGTTCTAGTTTCTCTATTGTTCCTAATTCTTCTAATTTTGATCTTTTCAGTTTTATCCTTTACTGTCCACAGCCTTGCCTTGTGCCATGAACTTAATTCACAAACTGTTTTCCTAGCACTGACTTGAAACAGTCCGTGCACAGCCCCTTGATTATGCTATTCTTGGCTGCCCCATGCGTCTCCCTCATTCTAGCTCAATCTCTGATTCTACACTTTAGTGCAGATTTTCACAGCATATATTTCTGCTCAGTTCATATAAGTGCTATGGCAAGGGCCTACTAGTCATAGCCATCCCATCACAATGCACTTACCTCTCCTAGAAAAACTGAGCTGTGTTCTTATATATTAATTCATACAAAAACAAGAAACAAAAATACAAACAACAATAACAAGAAATTCCCTATCGATATCCCCATATAAACATACACATGATCACTCTATGGATTTTTTATTCTTTTACCTATTTTGCTGTAATTATCTGCAACAAAGTCTTCCAAACCAACCATCTTCCAGAAACTGTCATCCCAGCCTTTCTCTGCTGAGTATGTCCATTTGCACACCAGGGAGCAGAGAGACCTATGAAAATGGGAGAGAGGAAGAACAAATAATATGAGCTAGACTTCCTTTATATTTTGCTGAATACCTGACCAGGTATCTGCAGTAGTATTGAGAAATAGAATAAACCAACATAGATAATTATACATCCCTACCTAGATCAAAAAACTCCATATGTACCTGTTAATTATTGATGGCACTTTTTTTCACTTTCAAGAGTCTCAGCCCTTTATTTGAATATTTGTATTTATATCTATTTTTATATATTTGTGAGATAGTTAAAATTATAATACTCTGATAAACTGAATTATTATTAAATTTTAGATATGATATTGGCAGTTGTGGTTATGTTTAAAAAGTCTCCTAGCCAGGCATGGTGGTGCACATCTGGAGTCCCAGCTGCTCAGGAGGCTGATGAAGGAGGATTGCCTGAAGCCCAGGAGTTTGAGGCCAGCCTGGGAAATATAGTAAGACCCTATCCCTTTAGGAAAAAAAACACACACACAAAAAAAAGCCAAAAAGGGGCTCTTTATCATTTAGAGATACATACTGAACATTTTAAGTATGAAATAATAGGATATTTGGGATTTACTTCAAAATAACATGAGAAGGGGAATTGAATGGCATTGTGGTTAGGGCAGGATTTGCCACAGACTGATGTTTGCTGTGGGGCTGAGTGTGGGCGTTCCCTTCTGCTACTCTACTTTTTTTACATGTTCAAAATTCTCTCTAATAAAAGAGTTTTTAAAAGTGCCAAATATAAATAACAAATGATACGGTCCTTCCAGTCTAAAGCAATGGGTGAAAGACTTGAATGCTGGAAGGTGTTTTCCTTTTCAGCTTCATTTCTCATCGATTCATCCTTAATATTTTACATTCCAACAATAAAAAATCATTTGAAGTTTTCTGGAAAAAAGTCATGTTTGTACATACTTCTGTGCTTCTGTCCTACCCCTATCGGGGTAGGGAAGTTGGGAAAACTCTTCCTGGCTTCCTCACCCTTATAACTCAAACTCTTACTTTAGCCTCGGCTGAGACTCCAATTCTGGCTTAGGTATCTCTCTTCTGTTATAGCCCTTATCACGCTATGTAATTAATTGCTTCTTTATACATCTTCCCTATAGTCCTACTGCCTTCTATCCTGTTCTCCATATTGTATCCCAGGCAAACTTTATAAAATAAAATCTGCTATATCAATCTCTGATATATTAATAAACTCCATCAGAACAAAACCAGCCCTACTTATCTCTGCATCACCATGTCTCATCCACATTCAGGTACATGTCAAGCCACAGCAAACAGTGATAGGATGGAAGCATTAAAGAATGGATGTGGTTTGTCTACCTCCTCACAGGTGAATGGTAGACCTGGGGAGCTCATACAGTTTTAAAGATAGCCCAAAACCTATCTCACAGGTGCAACAGTCTAGGGGATCCTCATAGATTTGCTCATTCCCTCGCTCACCCAATAAGTATTTAGTATTCAGTTACTATACTCCTAGAACTATGCAACGCCCTAGGGAACCAGTCGTATGCAAAAGACTTGATCCTCTCCTGTTATAGAAGCTGAAAGTTTAATTGGGGAGAGACAGAAACTGATCAAACAATCACAACTAAAATCAGATACCAACAAATAACCATAAAATGTTCTGAAGGAAGTAGAGGGAAACATGAGCACCTTTAGCAGAAGAGCCTGATGTAATCTGGTGGAGGGGGGTGGGGTATATCCAGGAGGGCTCCATAGAGGAGGTGGCACTGAGTAAGACCTAAATGTCTTTTGAAAGCCAACAAATGTCACTTATTATTAATGATTTTTTAGATATGATACAGATGACAGAACACATTGAGCTGTGCTGAATAGCACAAATATATTGAAGGAGTGATAGCACTAGAATAAATATATAGGTGCTAGATTAGTCACCTTATTTAAGCAAGATTTTTTTTTTAATGTATAAAGAAGGTGGCCACCTATGTAATATGTTCTGAAGAGTATACAATAGGCTAACTCCTTCTGACACAATGTCTGAAATGCCAACTTTTTAGGAGAGAGAAATACTATGAAGCAAAAGAGAGTGTAGAGGAATTGTCCCCAATGATCTAGCCACTCGGGACCACCCCTCAATCTCCAAATGCCCCCCCCATTCTCACTTTCAGACTGCTCTGCCTCTACTCTGACTATTCCTTCAGTCTTAATTATTATTGCTCCTTTCACCCATCCTTGTCTACTTGGCAAATTCCAAGTCATCCTATGGTCCAGTTCCAAAGTCAGCCCCTCTGTGCAAGTTACCCTACTACCTTCAAACTAAACTCAGGGCTCTCTCCCTTGAGGTACCATTAGAAGTTGGAAATATTGTGTTGTAGTTGTGGTTTTGTTTTTTTCTTTTTTATATTTTTCATGTTCTATTTATTTTTTTTATTTCAGCATATTATGGGGGTACAAATTTTAAGGTTTCAAATGATGCCCTTGCCCCCCCCCAACAAGTCTGAGTTTCCAGTGTGACTATCCCCCAGACGGTGCACATCTCACTCATTATGTATATATATACCTGCCCCCTCCTCCCCCCTCCCACCTGCCCAATACCCAATTAGTGTAATTCCTATGTGTACACTTAGGTGTTGATCAGTTAAGACCAATTTGCTGGCGAGTACATGTGGTGCTTGTTTTTCCATTCTTGGGATACTTCACTTAATAGAATGGGTTCCAGCTCTATCCAGGAAAATACAAGAGGTGCTAGATCACCATCGTTTCTTAGAGCTGAATCGTACTCCATGGTATACATATACCACATGTTATTAATCCACTCATGGATTGATGGGCATTTGAGTTGTTTCCATAACTTTGCAATTGTGAATTGTGCTGCTATAAATATTCAAGTGCAGGTGTCCACTAATGGGATTGCTGGGTCAAATGGTAGATCTACAAATGGTAGATCCCCACTAATGGGATTGCTGGGTCAAATGGTAGATCTATTTGTATCGCTTTGAGGTATCTCCATATTGCTTTCCATAGAGGTTGAACTAGTTTTCAGTCCCACCAGCAGTGTAGGAGTGTTCCTCTCTCTCCGCATCCACACCAACATCTGTTGTTTTGGGACTTTTTGATAAAGGCCATTCTTACTGGAAATAAGTGATATCTCATTGTGGTTTTGCTTTGCATTCTCCTGATGATTAGGAATGTTGAGCATTTTTTCATATGTTTGTTAGCCATTATTCTGTCTTCTTTAGAAAAGTTTCTGTTCATGTCCTTTGCCCACTTTTTGATAGGGTTGGTACTTTTCAACAGCTCAGCTAGGCTGAGTTCTTGTCTGCAGTCTCCATCCCTCCGCATAACCACATCCTTTGCTGTGTAACTGTGTGGTGCCACACATTTCTCCTCCCGCCCCCCATGCCATGGGCAGGACCTCGTTTCCCACCTCTGGACTTTGGATTCTGTCATATGACTTGGATTTGGCTGAAAGAATGAATCAAGAGCGATTGATTCCAGTTCCCAGCCATACATTAAGAGATGTATTTATGTGTTTCTGCCTGTTCTCTTGCACCTCTGGCATTGCCACGAGCTGATCATGCTGGGCTAGCTCACTGGTCCCGTGAGGAGGGTAAGTAAGAGCTACATGGAGCAAAGCAATAACCAGCCAAGCCCAATTGGGGTCAGACACCCCCAGGTTGTCTTGGATCAACCTGGATCAGGCAGCTAAGACCCCAGTAGGTGAGTCCAACTGACACCAGAGGATCACACACCAGATTGTAGCCTAAAGAGCCACTCTGAGCCAAGTAAACCCAAGTAAATGACTGTGTTTAACTACTGAGCACTCATTGTAGTTTGTAATAGAGCAAGAATTAAACAACTCAGCACTTCACAGTGTAACTGTTATCCCAAGTATATTTCCCCCCAATAAAAGTAAGGATAGGGATGTCTCGGTCTTCACACACAAGTTAGAATAAGTAGCCAGAGAGTATACTTGGAGTGAAGATGAGGCAGGAAATTTTACAACTACATATGCCTTTGGCAACTCCATCCTCCATCAGGATTATTCAAACACCATTAGGATCTAATTCATTCGGGTCTCTTTAAATCAAACTGGTGGATTATGTGGATGAGTTTTTAAGCAGCAGAACTGACCAAGTTTAGAGAATGCATCTGAGGCCAATGTTTCTCCAGAACTCTCCAGGACAGAAAGTATAGGACTTTGCCCATCCTGTTAGTGGGTAAAGGCAAGATACTAATAGCAGAACAAAGGGTTTGCCTCTCCCTGAGGCTTCTATTCAGACTAGGATTTTGACGTTCCCCAAAGTATTAAATATTTCAGTGGGCATTGTGACCTCCCCCATAGCTCATCTTCAGGCAAGCTGTACCTAATCAGCCCATTGTGCTGTGTCCTGCTCCCTTGGTTTATAGGCTTAGAATTAGAGATGGGGCCTTAGAGAGTCAGGGGCTGCATTACAATCTGACCCCAAGGTCAGTAGCCAGAAAGGAACGCTACTTCTGCCCAGGTCACTCTAAGAGGAGAGAAGGGGCTGCTCACTGTTGGCTGGTTGGTCCACTGCCAGCTAGAATGCCAGGGCAGGAACTTCTGTACCTTTCACTGCTTTCAGATTTGTTAATGCCAAATAGAACTCTGAAAACCTATACAAAGGCCAAAATAACATAGAGTAGGTAAAACAAAAATAATAAGTAACTTAGGGGTACTAGTTCACCTGAAAGAAGACCACATAGAACATCTCTAAGAGGCAAGTCCCATTAAAGTAGAAACAAAGAAAAAAGTTGGAAGAACACATCAAAAATGAAAACAATGAGAAATCAGAAGAAGAATGCAAGAAAGACTTTCTGGAACTATAAACATTGAATTTAAGTTTAAATTTATAATTTCCAAAGAAGAACTAAAAAATCACTGGCATTGATGAAAATCAAATTAATACTATGGAAAATCAAGTAAATGGAATATTTACTGCAAGTAGCAAAGAAACAAAGAGATAGAAATAATGATGGAAGAGATAAGAGGCTTGAAGGACAGATCCAGCAGC